ACGACTGGTGCAGGGGCTCCAAATGCCTCGGTTGGATGTGAAAACCAAGACAGAACATGACGTGTCACTTGACCCAGATGGGGAAAGTTCACATCAACTAACACGCTCAACCTTCCTACACATACACACACACCCATACACCTCTATTACTCTCTGCCTCCGATTATTGACCTTAAATTGAGCCAACAACTATCATTAATTAAGATTTTTTCCACTGTATGATATGTAAGCGCATGAGTAGGTACATCCGAAAACAATTGTTTGCCCACCGACTCGTTTTCTCAATGCTATCATGGGAATATTCATACAGAAAATTAGCCGAATCCTTTACCAATTGCTGTTAAGACCAAGTTCTGAGGTCACAAAATTGTGACCTGGGAGACCCGGGTTCGAACCGCTCTACCGCCGCCCGTATTCCCTAATACGGATTTACCCAGCCAGACCTCGTATGGCTGCGGACCCGTTTTCTGAATCTCGACTGTACATTTCTATAGTCAATGTATGAAAGCGGAAGTAAAATGACATTTATGACCATTTTTTATTTATGTGATTTTAGGATGTCGTCGTAAGTTGCTTTCACCATTCTAAATTACTGTTCTCGCATGGTATGCTTCCATATGCACAGTTTGAAAGGATATGCGAATTACATTGTAGTCCTTCGCCATCGCTTTCAAAGTTTGCCAAATATGTTTCTTATGTATCCCTGTTTGATACAGTGGTATTGATCTGTGATCGAATAAAAATACGGATGATAGTCTTTGGTATTCCTGTCAGAAATCTAAAGCAACTGTTATTCCCCAGCACATGTAACGTCCAGTTTCCGTTTGATGGTACTATTTATCGTCAGATGGACGGGGTTGCCCTGGGATCGCCACTTGGTTCTTTGCTAGCTGACATCTTCTTGGTTAAACTGGAAAGGAGCACGCTGAGCCCAGCTATTGAAGGATTAGCACACTACAATAGATATATGGATGATTCTCTGTGTGACTGATCACAAAATTAGCATCCCGCAGACATTAAAATCGTTTAACGACGCACATCCATCACTGTAATTCACTGTATAGGCTGAAACGAATAGCATTTCAGCCTTTCTGGATGTAGTCGTGTCCAGAAATAAAGGTGGATTATTAAGAAGACAGATCCACCGTAAGAAAACATGGAATAGCCAATATACCAAATTCCATATTTAGGTCCTAGTGAAATATAAACGTCATCTAGTCCAGTGTCTAGCCTTCAGACCCCGAAAGATTTGTTCGGCAGACACACTGGATCAAGAACTACACTTCATCCGCCAAACGCTGCACGACAATGGTTACCCGGAAAAGTTCATCGATAAGAACATTCAGCTCACTCCAGAGAAGGAAAACCCTACATGTGTCCCCAAGAAATACCTATTCATAAGAATCACATTCAAGGGGAACTCACATACAGAGAGCGTAGTTTAATCACTGAGCGCAGCTGTGAATTCCACTTTCCCCGCAGCCAAACTTAGACCAGTGTTCTCAACATCACGGGTGATGCGAATGCAAGTGAAAGATAAACTGCCGAAGCCCTGTTAATTTACTATTCTAAGTGCGTCTGTGGAGCATATTACATAGGTCGTACGGTAAAGCGTTCAGGAACACTACCCGCGATGGTCAAGTCAGGGGAAGACTGGTTGTATCTCAAGTGCGATCGCGGGGCATCTCGTCGATACGGCGCACAAGATCGAATCGGAGAAATCTTTCGATATTGTTTATCGTATCGAAGTCGGCCCGAATTCGGACACTAGCCATAGCCGAGGCGATCGCCATTCGCTTAGTAGGTCCTAACCTATGTGCCCAAAAACGACTGGTGCAGGGGCTCCAAATGCCTCGGTTGGATGTGAAAACCAAGACAGAACATGACGTGTCACTTGACCCAGATGGGGAAAGTT